TGACGTTAATGGCAGGACTTTGGAAACATACTCTAACACAGACTTAAATACACAGGAATCATGAAAACAACTCAAAACAGCTGATGACACGGGGATTCCACACGAGGTAGCGTGGCACGCAGGAGGATCAGACGTGCAGGGCATGACAATTACTACTAAACTCAGTTTTCTCATTGTTGAGTTAGAGGGAGGAAACAGGAAGTGAGATCAGGGTTGAGGGAAGATGGGAAATAGTGGCAGCAAAGAGCTGTGAATAGTGGAAATCAGGGTTGGGACCATTCCGGAATGCATTTATTAATTCAAGTCCAAATCAGAAAATGGAACTGGAGGTAGAATTTAAATCTCCCTGATATTCAAATTCAATTCCAATTCTGTTTTTCCCCAGTCCCAACTGCAGTTCCATTTCCAGACTTGGATTGGGAATGATCAATGCATTCCGGAATTCCTTGAAAAGAAAGGAGTTGCAAAACCTGACAGAGGGTAGGTATTATCTAGATGTAAAAAGTACAAGGGTATCTGGATGGTTGATGAGGCTGGAGTAAGGCAGGTGAGCCGCACAAATGGTTCCTCTGTAATGGGAGAGATGATCTTTATAGGCCCAGCATGGACGGTGAGCTTGATCTTCTTAAAAAGTCTCTTCAGCTAAGACCAGTCCGTTTCATGAAATAGAGCTCAGGTGTACTACCAGTGGGAGTAAAAGATAACAGTGGCATTACAAGATGTTAGAGGTGCTCAAGTATCAAGAGAGTAGACAGTATTCAGGGGCAAACATTTCAGGAGATGAGGGGACAGAGTGAGAACACATAGCCAAGGATATAGATTGAGATAGGACAAGTAGATCAACAGATTTAATACTGTGGAAAAGGTTGAATCTGGAAGTAGACTGATGTAGTACAGAGTACATAAAGTTACAACAGCATCAGACACTGATAATAGCAGGAACAATATATAATACAGACTGTAATAATGAATAAAATAACAATAATTCTATCACAAAAGCAAAAAGCATAGATCAGTGATGTTAGTGTGCAAATGACCCTTTGCCAGGGCAGGAGGATGGCACACCATCCCTTGTGACTGTCCTCTCCCTCATGTCCCTGCCCTAGGCAATGGATTCTTAAAGCCTTAATTGTTTCTCTTTTAAATTTCACCCGTCCACTTTTAGTGCTTGGACTCATTCGGGAAAATGGGTCTTGTGAGCATCTATTTACTTAGCATCGGATAGTTGCAATATTATTACACTGTGGGAAGATAGGCAGACTGCTAATTAAAAGAGGACCCTCAGCTAGAAGCTGAGTAGAAGTAATGAAAATATGTAGGTTCAGACTTTTTGCAGACTTTTTGTTTTTCCTTAAATCTACATTTCGGGTCCTACCATGACGGTGTGAAAGTATCTTTTTTTTGTTTGTGACCAAATTTTGTCTAAGATTTTGTAACAAAAAACAAGACGGAACAGAATAGAACAGAACACCACCCCCCCCCCCCAATACAATACTGAGACAGCACCTCAAAGGAAAAGAAACAAAAGACCAACAATGGTCACCGGCACACCCAGCCCCAGAGAGCGCAGCTAAAAAACTGATGAGAAAAAAAAAAAAACACATATCAGTGAGAACTGTAAAAATTAGGAAAGTAAAAATCAAAACAAAAAACAAGAATAAGGCCTCAGGACATGACCCACAGCCAGTTGTGTGAAAGTATCTAATGTTAAGACTCTAAATAATTGGGTATTGTACTATACAGCCATCAAGAATTGTTATGGTAATTACTCACAGAATTTTTGATACGTGTCTTTGAGAGGATGTTGATAACTAATGCATTCAATTGCACATAATCCTGTAACATGACCAGATTCATCAGTAATTACTCACAGAATTTTTGATCTGTGTCTTTGAGAGGAAGTTCATAACTAATGCATTCAATTGCACATATTCTGTAACATGACCAGATTAATCAGATTAATCATGCCATCACTATAGTCTTATTTTTGGCACTAAATTATACACAGTGCCCCAGTTTGGGATGGTACTTAAGTCAGTTTTCTGTTTTTAAGTTTTCAACATTTCAGAATGGGCAAAATAAAACATGCCAATGTGTCTTTGTCTTAGCTTGTATTGGAAGATGAAAGCAGAGGGACTCAGAATTAGCCCCAGTTAGGGTTCACTTCCATTGAGATTTTCTCATGGGGTCATTAGCTACAATGATACATGCATTGCATACAATCACCAATGGCAACACGGATGAAAGTGGCTAACCTGGTTAAATTGGGGGCATCACAGTAAGTCATAATGGGGAGACATGGGACCATGGGCAGAGATAGGATGATGGGAGCCACATTTAGTCTTCTGACATAGTTCCTTCACACACACACATGTTTGTATACATACTGCATCTTTGTGGAGTCTTTCCATTATTTTCTATGGGCATACTCCAAATCCCAACTATAACAAGCTTAACCCCTACCCAGCCCTAACCTTAAGCATAAGTAACCAAACTAAATACAAGTCTTTTGGCATTTTTAGGTTTTTTTTTTATTGCATTCATAGTTTTTTAAATTTATTTTTTATATTGTTGGAATCTGAAAATGTCCCGAAAAGTTAAAAAGTAACAGGTTTTTATAACACTGTCCCCACACTATAATGTATACATGACCCCACACACACACACACACTCCGGTTTGTAATTATATCTTTGTGGGGACTTTATTCATTTCTATGGGGAAAACTCTAATCCCAACACGATGACCTTAACCCCTATCCAGCCCTAAGCTTAACCATAAGTACCCCAACAAAACGTGAGACTTTCGACATTTTTAGTTTCTTGATTGCATTCACAGATGTTTGTGGGGACTTGAAAAATGTCAGGTTTGGGGTGGGACTCTTCCGGCCTGCGCCTGGGGGGGTGTCCCCTGCTGCCAGGCTGCCTGACTGCCCCTGCCGACTGTGCGGGGTCAGGGATGGGGACTAATTGGGGCCAGTCGGGGATCTGGGGGGACGGAGGCACTCCTGGTATACCCTTATTGCTCCCCTGGGCCCGACACCACATTTCACATAACATTAGGGCTTTGAGGGGCAGTGGGGAGGTGCGCCGAGACACTGCCCCTCAATTTTTACTTGCATATTACACACCACATGACACTAGGGCTAAGGAGGGGGGTTGAGGCAGGTGGTGCTCTGCCAGCGGTGGGGTGCCCGTGACTCAACTGCTCGCCCGTTTTTTTTTGCACTTTAGTAATATACACAGTCCATATTACATTAGGGCCTTGGGGTGCGGGGAGGGTGATAGGGGACTCCGTCGTCTGCTAGCGGTGGGGCCCTCATACCCAAACTGCATCCACTAATTTTAATGCATTGTAGACATAAACACACAACTCTCTCACACATATACATACACACTTTACACGGGGAAGTGATGGGGGCTGAGGGGCCTTCCCTAACTCTCTGTCTCTGGCCCTGTGTGGGTGGGGGGCCCACCATGAGGAGGATCCATCATGCGGGGGATGCAGGCGGCCCTGGCTGGTGTGGGCGACCACCTCTCATGGGCCGCGGGCCGTGTGGTCCTTGGTTCTGCTGTGCCGTGGTGAGGCCCTGACAGATGGTCCGGGGAATCTTGGGACGCTCTGGGCCCTTCTAGGCAAATTTGGGGTTGGGTTTTGGCCGGGCAGAGGGTCTGCCATTCTCCGGTCGACAAAGGTCCGCTCCCGGGTGGGGGGGGGAGGCACTTCCTTTAGTCATCCTGCAGTGTTGGGGTGGTGTGCCGGGTTGCTTCGGTGGGCAGCAATCTGTTCTGCCGGGAGGTGGGCTTGGGCCCCTCCGGTGTGTGGGGGGCCCTCCACCGGGGGGGGGGGGGGGGGGGGCATGGGCTCCCGTTTGATGGGGCCCTTCGCCCCTGGACCCGCTTGCCTCGGTAGGGGGGTCGCGGGTGGGACTGGGGGGGTTCACTGCCCATCCCTCCTCGGCGGGCCTCCTTGTGTGGGGGTTGGCACCCCCTTAGTCCCTCATGGGCTTCCTCTCGGGTTGGGCGGGTGGTTGTCTCGGGGACACGTGGCTGCGGGCCCTTATGCCGTGGGAGCAGAGGAGTGGGCTCAGTTGCCTGGTTCCCCCTGCCTTTGCCTTGGGCCCGGGGGTGGGGGGCACTGTCACGCCCCTCGACGGCATCAACTACCAGCACATCCAATGACAAATCAGTTCACACCTACACTTGCACATACAAGAATGGGCACATACGAAGTTGAGCAATCAATATCATTATTATTACCTATTAGTAATATTATTATTATTATTATTATTGTTGTTGTTGATATTATTGTTATAATTTTTTATTGTCGTCATCATTAGCCTGCTATTGTTTTGTTGTTTGATGTCCTTTTAATGAGTATTATGTGTGTTATGGTTGTTTGTGTTCTGCATTCCCCTACACTTTGTTTTGTCCATCCCACCTTTATTATTATTCTTATTATTATTTCTATTTACCATTTTTTTCTCTCCCCATGGTGATTAATGTCTGTTATTGTGATTGTTGTTTCTGTGTCCTATATGTAATATAAACATAATCCACACACACAGAGACACACACAGTTTCTTATGTAGAAGTCTAAGAATCGTGACGTCTTCATGTTTTAAGTTGTGCTCAACTAGTAAAAGTGAATTTATAATTTATTTTACCACTACTGTCATAGTTAATAGGATAAGTCAATGTTTAAAAATTTACTGTCTGTCTAATTTTGTTTACATCTTACCCCTTCCATTTTTAATTATTGACTCAAAATATGCAATATATGCAAAAAGTTACATTTCTGTGGTTGTTGATTTTACATGAAAAAAGCTGGAATAAACAACAAGATGACTACAAAGAGAGGTTTTCTTTTATACTGATGTTTAAGGTAAAACTGCAGCTTTAGCTGTCATGCTATGTGTTCTAGGAGCTTTGCTCCTGCATGCCTATACACCCACTTAGTAAGAGCTTGGGGTGGTGTGAGCTTGCGCTGAGCTTCAGGGGATTTCACTGCTGTTCACATGACCGCTCTGTGATTTGCTACATTTGTTGAAGCGGGGGGTGTTACTCCTTCCTCTCCAGCCCCCCCTTCACCATGTGCTGAGTGAGAGGGGTCAGACCTGGTCTAGTGCCTGTGCTCCTCCTTTTCCTTGTCTATTCATGGAGATCTGCTACTAGCAGTACTAAGCCACTGAGAGCTGCTGCAAGCCACTGCAGCCAGGTCAGCTGGAAGAGACAAATCAACTGGAAGTCCAAATCACGTGACCAGGCATTACAGGACCACCCAGAACCAGTATTGAGATTAAAAAGTATCCAAAGGCTGGAGTAGAAGTTCAACAAAACAAAGAAAAAGTCTGATCGTATTGGGGTCACTGCATCTCTGCTCTGCAACTACTTTTTTAATATAAATTGTTATTTTCTGAAGTGGTGTCTCATTCAAGGAAAAAAATAATTTTCCTGGGTACGTCCATGGTGTGTGGGACACTCATTATTGTGGAGATTTAGCAAGAAGTCTAAGCGAACACCAGAAGGTGACCAGGAAAGGCTACTCAGACCAGGTATGAGCATATACTTCACGTATGCCTCTGAAACCTTCACCTATGTCTATTGGTTCCATGTTTGTGTGTTTGGAATGTAGGGATTCTGGGTTCGAGACCATCAACAACAAATCTACCCCTAGGGAAAGTGAGTAGTATAATAGTTAAATTGCTGCGCTTGAGCCTATAAAGCTTATAAAATGGAGTCAAGTGGATCCCGATTGTTGTACTGCTATGCAAGCTGCGTATGCTCATTCAGAAAATACATCTGCCACCATGTATGGTGTAAACTGAACTCAAATGTAAGTTAAGTAACATAATTACATTTGCCAGTGTTCGGCTTAGTTATCTATACTTCATGGTGTTCCATTCAAAAGAAGTTTTTCTGAAAAACACACTGTGACCTTAAAAAGGTTGTTTGATTTGATTTTGATAAAATAGATCTACAGCACTATATTGTTAGGGTATACTTGGAGTGGGCCAGCTAAGGGAGACTGTTTTAATGTTTACTAGTTTGATCATAGGGCTGGTGATTAAATACTTTCATACTCTATTCTGAGATGTTTTCCTGCATAAAGTTTTCTTTATAAAGTTATTGATTTAGATGTTTTTTTCTCTGTCTACTGTCCTCTTTTTCTCTGTTAGAATATCTGCTTTGTTACCCCTTCCACCTCTTGTTCCATTTTTGTGCCTCAGCAATGGGTGCAGCTTTCAGAAGGTTTTGTGCTCATTTCTGCTGTTGCTGTTGTTGTGCTGATGATGAACCTGAGGAAAAGAACCCATTACTGAGGTACTGGTGGTTTCCCTACAACCCTAGAAGCATGGTGCTACATATCAAATATTTATTACGGATAACTCACTACATGGACAACACACTATTACACCGAAAGCCTAAAGCTGTCCATGACATTCCTACACATGGATATTCATTAATTTATCCAGAGCCATGTATCTAATCCAGGGTCATGGTGAGCCTGGAGCCTTTCCCAGGATGCACAAGCAATACAAGCGACACCCTGAAGAGGGTGTCAGTCCATCACAAGACATTTACATGCAATCTCACACTAAGAGCATGACTGAGGGAAAGTACCTAGAGGAGACCCCTCTAGAAGCATAAGGAAGACATATAGACTTGCACACACAGAGCTGGGATGATGCACAATCAAAATAATTTGTCAACACAACCCTTAAGCACCAATGTTTTGAAATATATCTCCCAAATACCCTGTGAATTTATACAAATGATGCTTGGTTGGTGTGTATTGCATATTTGCAGTGAAACACTGCTCTATTTCGACCGGGAGGCAAAGAAGAGGCGGGACCAGGAGACCAACCTTTGGAGTGAGCCGGGAGACCACAGCCACTCTGAACGAGATGATGACCGTGAACTCTACAACCTGCTGCAGAAGAGGTCCAGGATGCGCAGGGGCTCCCAGGTCAGTCCAACACTGATACAGGCCCTATTAATGGTTTTGACTCTGCTTGTCCATGAAATGGCTCTCTCTCAAGCTAAAACCAAGTGGTATAAAACTAACAAACTGTTGGACCTACCCGGAGAAATGTTGTATCAAACTCTTAATTTAGAAGGCTTTGAATTAAATTACTAGTTGGAAGGTTGATAAATATTTGATAAAATTACTATTGTTTTGCCTTTGCAGGCCTACATATATTTAAATTATATGTCCAAGCAGGTAATTAGGGTTTCCTATTGTTTTTGCTAAGTAAGTTAGAAGTATTCATATTATTCTGATTTTTCCCTAAAACAAAATGGGTAGACTGTAAAACATAAAATTTGAAGGTGCAGTATTCCCCAAAACTAAGGTAAATGAAAGGGCCCCAGTCAGCCTGAGAGTAGTGGTACAGTGCAGCCATTTACATTTCAATTAAATTCAATTAAATTCAATTAAATTCAATTCAATTCAATTCAATTCAAGCGTCGCCCCAAGGTGATTTACATGGCTTTGTTGTGATACATTACTACACCAATGAGACAAAAACAGGGTAAAGGGAGGGCAAAGAAATTAAAGAAAGAAAGCCAGATGATGACAGAGGAGAAGAACCAAAAATTTCCAAGTAGTGAGACAAAAAAAACTCTGTGGGTCCAAGGGCAGCTGGCTGCTCAACGCCCCTGGGCATGCTAACTTTATTGAAAAAGAAAGAGTGGGCTTGCTTGCTAAAAGTAAGGTGTAAACTGTGGTGAAGGTCAAAGCTAAACATCGTCAATGAGTCATTTCTTCATGCCAGCTTCTGTAGTGTGGCAGATTGAAGGCTGCACCCACATGTCACAGCAAATCCAGGAACACAGTATTGGGCAATCACAAATTGTGGATTTTTATGAATATTTATATAGTACAAATACAAAATGTCAAATAGCTGGTGTTCCTCATAACTGAACACAGTGGGTATTTTTACTCTGCTTGCTTGTGCTGATGTGACAGGATAGTGGAGAGGAGAGAGATCAGACTAAAAAGGAGTAGCATAGTCAGATATAGGTAAAATACATGTACTGGATTGTTACACCTATGTCTACTCATATACTTGTATGTATATATCACCCATTCTTCATCATTGGGCCAAATCACGTCCTACCAAAAAAAAATAATTTGATCAGGGATAAAAAGGATCAGCTACATCCTAAGGACTCTTGCCTCACTTCCTGGTTTTCAAAAAATTAGGGAATACTGTTCAAGTACTGGTTTTTTTGATAAATTCATGAAATAGTATTGAATCAGGTATGTCTCAACTATAACAGGTCAACTCCGTAGCCCTTCTAAATCAAAACTAAATAAAAATTATGGTTTATAAATCCATATTTTGATTAGCATTAAGAGAACACTTACCAACTTTACAAAGTTCAATAGCCAAGGCTTTCATCTTTTAAAACATACACTGCTCAAAAAAATTAAAGGAACACTTTGAAAACACGTCAGATCTCAATGGGGGGAAAAAATCATGCTAGTTATCTATACTGATATGGACTGGTTAATATATTAAAGGACGCCACATCATTTGATGGAAATGAAAATAATCAACCTACAGAGGGCTGAATTCAAAGACACCCCAAAGGGAAGAAATGATGAGGCATACTAGTCCATTTTGCAGAAATTTCATTGCAGCAACTCTAAATGCATTGGTCCATGTACAAAATTTGGTGGACGAACAGATTCCTTGACCACATTATATCAGTGTAGCACCGGCAGGGCGCATGTCCCAGCATGCCCCACGTGCAATTGTAAATAGAAAAACCACAACAGGCACCCAACGAGCACCGATCCCAAATACACAGATGGGAAACACGTGGTTGTCAGACTCAGAACTGCAAGATGCACACATGGTGGAAGATTTACATACGCTAAATACATGTGAGGATCGGACCAGGTATAGACAAGACACGGGCAAACACACGCGCCACAATAGGGAAATGCAATCATTAACATTAACAACAATAAGGCCAATAGGATGTTGGGGTATATCTCCAGGTG